GTCCATGATTTCCAAAAAGAATTTCAAATGTTGATTTGTCAGACTACAGAACACTTTTCGACTTCCCCTCAGTCCATTTTAAACGAGCTTAGGCCCAGAGAAGGTGGCAGCATTTCTGGATCCTGTTTATATATGATTTCTTCTTTGTGTTTTAGAGTTTTAACTTGCCTTTGTGTATGCAGTGATGAACTGTGTTCACAGACAGTGGTTTTCAGAAGTGTTTCTGAGCCCATGCACTGCAGATGCACATATTCAAAAAGATGTTCATGTCCTTTCACACACTCCATCATGCTGATCTTCCTTGTTTGCTCTAAAGTCAGCATTGTCTGTAACATAATTCCAAAAACATCAAGTGGCAAAAACACAAAACCCTCAAACCTATATCTTGGGTTCAAATCCCAGGATGACTAGTGTTGCAAAAGTGGGTCATATATGATATGAGATTTATATATATGATGAGATTTGTAGAGTTTATATAAATCATATCTCATCACAAGCTGTAAACTCAACATCTTATTATAAAATTAATATTTCTGGTCCTAAAATCAGCTAACAGGCTGAAAGATAGCAAACATGCTAAACAGCTCCATCATTAATATCAGGTTTGTGTGTTCGTGACACTGTAGCTTTTTTTGGAGTTGGTGAAGAACAGTTTAATCAACTCTTCTCCTCCTGGGCTTGATTGCTAAGCCTGAATGTGAAAAACACGCCCGCTCATTATCATATAAACTAAGAAATACAGAAATAAATAAATGAATAAATGAAAAAATACATTAATCAATAAATAAAGCAAACCAAAACCAAACATGGCATTAATAAAAAATAATACAGAAATAAATAAATTGAGAAATATGCAACTGCAGAAAAAGGAAATGTGTATAATTACAATCACAATAAGCAATTTATACTTTATTTAGTTATTTTTATTCATTGTTTAATTTACTGAGACTTTTTTATTTTATTTATTTTTCATTTTGGCAAATCTGGTCCTCCATCTGATATGACAAGTGATTAATTAATAATTAAATAATTTTAATTAAAAACTATTTCTGAGTTTGTATGTTTCTAATGTGTCCATGTCCAAGTTTATAAAACTGAAAACAAAAACATGAAAAACATGCTGCCTGTCTGCTTTTAGTTTTTAACTTTTATTCTCTTAAAATTTGATAAATATTAAGCTTTGAAGGTAATTAAATAACGAATGTTTGAATTGATGGGGTTTTATTTACAGCATAAACATTCATTTCAGTAATTCATCCAGCTTTTTTCTTCTTTCCTCCAATGTAAGACATCTTGGTCCATTTCTGATATAAAACTAAACCTCATACGGCCTTTAGACTGACTGTCTACACTGACCTGCTGGGACAGTTCATTACAGTAGCTGGTTATTTCAAAACTAAACAGACCGCAGGCGTACACTGATACACTGCACAATACTGTAGTTTTAGTTTTTTAAGTTTAGTTTTTATTTATTTTGCACAATTTAAAATATACACAAATAGACTAAGATAACACAGTGCACAGAGAGGCAAAGCCTCCACCTAAATAACAATAACATTACACAATATAATGAAAAATGCAAAATAATGTACAACATAATGTACAACAATGACATAAAACAAACTTCAGATAACTTAAATGTTAGCATCATCATAACACATTAAACAAAACCATTTGAATATGAATATGCTTGTGTATGTGCACAAGAGCGTCCATACATATATGAAATATAAATACATATGCTTTTGAAATAATAGATTTATACAACCGTATTGACTCCTAAGCAGTAATAAAAAGTAAATATCACAATAAATGAAGCAAATAAAACAGAAGAATAACTACAGTACAGATATTAAATAATCTTTTAAGTATCTTTTATAAGACTTTAAAGAAGAACAATTTTTGCCAAATAGGAAAGCTTATTCCATATTATACTGCCCCTAAATCTGATTGAAAATTGACCTCTACAAGTGAGAAATTTAGAAGGACGAACACGTGAAGATTGATGAGTTGAATATGGATGAACATCTGAATTTACTGAGAAATAATATTTAAACTGCTCTGGAATGTTCCCTTCCCTTGAAATAAAGGAGCAGATGACATATATAAATCTGATGGTGTTGCAATCCTAACAAAACATTTCTGAAGGACCCAAATTTTGTGAAGAGTAGTGGAGAAAGTACTTGCCCACACTATGTTACAATATGAAAGATAAGAATAAATTAGACTATAATAAAGAGTGAGAAGACAATTTATGTTAACCAAATGACCAACCTTCCTTATAATACCAATAGATTTATGTATTTCTCTGCTAACCCAGTCTATTTGTTCTCTCCAACTCATTGAGTCTCATCAACAATAATTCCTAAAATTATGATAAAATTAGACTTTTTTATATTTAAAGAAGGTTTATTTAATGTAAACTATGTAGTATAGGCATTAAAACCAACATTAACATCCTTAATCAATGTGTTGAAATTTAAATGTGAAGCAACAAGGGTTGTGTCATCTGCAAACATTAGACAAATCATTAATATATTAATATATTATTATTGATCCCTGAGGAACCCCACACAGTAATCTTGTTTTGCTGGAAGAGCGACCCTTAATACAAACAAACTGTCTTCTGTTTGAAATATAATTTTTTAACCAGTTTTATATAATATCCTGAAAACCACATTTATACAATTTTTTCAACAATATCTGATGGTTAACTGCATCAAAAGCTTTTGAAAAGTCTATAAAAATACTACAAGAAAATTAGTTTTCTTCAAGTGCAGAGGTAAGCAGAGCCATATAAGTAGATTAATTTTTTGAAAACCATACTGATGTTTATAAAGAATTGAATTAGAATCTAGATGAAAAAGAATCCTTTTATATATTATTTTTTTCTAATATCTTTGAAAAACATGGCAAAATTAATATAGGTCTATAGTTATTAAAACAACATGGATCACCTGCTTTAATCATAGGAATAATCTTGGCAACTTTTAAGTCCTCTGGCACAACACCTGATTTCATAGACAAAGAGAAAATGTGAGTAAGTAATTTTTGCTGAAGTAATTTTTAATCCATCAATTATGTCACTTATTTCTTGAATATCAAAAAAGAAGAAATAAAAGGAAAATTTCTTTTAAATTCAACAAAAATTGTTAAATTTCTGAGCTATATGAGATGGATCATTAAGAGAATTTTCACCATCTAACATAACTGAAGGCACCTCTATAGAAGTCTTTTCTCTTTGTAACAAATGATTTATTATTTTCCATGTCATTTGGTGTCCTTTGAGTATCTCATACACTTTTCACTGAAATATTTCTTTTTTGTAGCTCTAATAGAATGAATATACTTATTTTTCTAGGATTTATAGACACTATGTGTAATATATTGTAGGATTTACAATATATTTTCTATACAATTTATTTTTTTTCCAGAACATCTTCAGTAAATCAACTGTAAACCAAAGTTTTTTGAAGTCTTGAGTATATTTCTTGCTGAAAGTGGCAATTGGAAAACATTCATTGAAGCTAAGACTAATAACTTTCATTAACTTTTGATATGCAAAATTAGCATTATTTTCCTCATATATTTAATTCCATGAAGTATGTCTATAAATATAGAAATATTTCTTACTCATACTTACTCAAAATTCGTTTGTGTATTATTTCCTTAGTATTTTTAGTTTTATTAATGTCAAAGAGTATTGAAAAATGAGAAAATGATCTGATAAGTCAGAAAATAGTACTCTAGATTTCACCACTTCATTCAAAGAATTAGTTAAGATGTTATCAAAGTTGCTAAATTTTCTTTAACTCGTGTAGACTTATAGATGAGAGAAAAAAATAACTAGAATAAAGAATATTAAGAAAATTCCTAGTAAGAGTATCTACTTTAATTTTTAAAAGAGTTATATTAAAATCACCTAAAATATAACAAAGTTTATCCTCATATTTATCAAGTCCAATGATCTGGACAGACTTTCGTTAAAATCTTTAGTGGCAGATTCAGGTGGTCGATAAATAACACCAACAATAACCTTCTTTCTGTTAAAAGTCCCAAAAAGCTTCAAAAAAACAGATTCTATCTCTGCCCTATACAATTTTAAAATGAGATCATCCCTAATTTTAAATTCATAATCTTCATAAACAGATACTCCACCTCCAGATCTACTTTCTCTTACATAATAAACCGAGTTATATTTAGGAAGTTTAAAGATATCCTTAGAATCCTCTGTAAGCTATGTTTCTGATAAAGCAATAACAGAAAAACAATGTTTAAGTGTAGATAAATAATGAATAAATTTATCATAGTTACAGGAAAGACTTCTTATATTCAAATGAAGAGTAGAGAGTATATTAGAAAGCATAGAAACACAAATCAGTAAACTGGCTTTCATTATAAAAAGTACAAATATTAGAGACATCAAACGAGGAAAAAAAAATTAAGTCTGGGTCGACTTCAAAATTATAAGAGTTACTTGTAGAGAGATCAAATGGTTTGAAAATCTGACCCTCAAAATCACATTTGTTACAATCCATAATGCAAACAAAAAACAATGTGGTGTAAATATGTAAACCAAACAAGCACGGTGTAAACATCCAATAGTGAACATTAATGAGCTAAATTCTGAACACTGGCTTTTTTTGTTGTGATGGATTTTGAATTGGTAGATGAATAAAGAGTTTGTCATATCTCAAATATGCAATATCACCTCTCTCTCTCGAGCTGCCTTCATTGCTGGGAGTAGTTCTTTCCTTCTCTGTCGGACAGCTTCAGGGAAATCCTCATTAATAAAGATGTCTGAGGCCTTCAAGATTTTAGTTTTATCCAGAACAGCAAGTTCTGACCTAGTTTCGTTACTGTTCTTGGACCAAGTTTTACATAAAAGTTTGAAATCATCAAATTCTTTTGAGTCATTTCTAAACTCACCTTAAAATCATAGACTTGCTTTGACAAATCATCAATCCTCCTGTTTGAAGAATCAGCTATGATCTGTACACAACTTTTAAAGCTCTTTTCTTGCTGTGCAAGTAAAGTTCTGGAAAAATAATTTTTGCTGGTCCAACAATTCACGCATTTGAGTCATGGTGACATATTCCTCAGTAGTGTTATTAGAAGCTTTGGGTGGCATGTTTTGATCATCCAATGTCAAGGCCCACTAAGCCCAAAGTTCAGCAAAGTAGAGCCAGCAGAAGCCTCCACAAAATACGTACAGTGTCCACAATTGTAATAGAAAGAGTTAATTTGACTCTTCCTAGTTCAACCAACAGCAAAAGTTCAAGGATTTGGGTAGGATTCCTCAGATTGTTATTAGATAGAAGAAAAGCCTACAGCCTCCATGAGCCAACAAGGCCCAAAGGTCTTTGTCCAGGTGTTTAATAAAAGAGCACTTCTCACAATGGAACCATGGCCTCCACTGTGTTTTACTCAGTGCTGATGCTAGAATGTTATGATGTATTAATTAAGATCCTTAAGATCTTCAGGTAAATCAGTGGAAAATTCAGCAACACAGTTTTAAATTAAAACTGCACAATGAGTTCATTTTCAAATGATTACAATGTGCTGTGACTGACTTATTCAGTTTTATTAATAATGATAAGTCATAATAATAATAATAATTGTACTACCACTGTGAATATTACTGTTTTCCTTTTTTCATATTCAGACCACTAGAGGTCAGTATCTTAACACTTATGAGGTCAAACCATACAAACTTAAAAGGGGAACTCCACAAGTTTTCCAAAACTCCATAATTAAGTGGTTTAGACATAAACACAGCAATTAAGAGTGGTAAAGATTCAGAATTCTTCACAGTGTTGGTGATAGGAACCAGATGTCTGAAAGAGTTTAAAGCTCCTAAAATTACCACACACACGCACATGAATCTGTTGAATTCCCTGGTAACACTGAAAACGCTGCATAAGCATCTTCTACACCTGCCTAGTGCTAGACAGCAATATATAATATTAATGTTAATAATACTTTATTATGACTTAGCTGTTTGCTGCTTGATTCATTTTGTTGTTTTGTTTTTTCAGTATTAACCACTAGATGGCAGCACTGTACCACTTATGAGTTTAGACAGCTCATACTTTCAGATCTAGTACAATCAGGAAACAACTGACCAGCTCGTCATAATTACACCACAATATATAATCTTTGGAACATTTCAAAAACTGTTTTTATATTCATGTCTGAAAACATTTACCACCTCATGCTTGAAACATTTCTAAAACATGCACATTTGGTTGTTTCCAATATTCACAATATTCACCTGAATAGTTCACCTCACAGAGACCAAAGACATCTACTCTACATCTACTACACATATACATCTACTCTACATCTACAGTACATATTCTTCTACTGTACATCTACTGTACATCTACAGTACATATTCTTCTACTCTACATCTACTGTACATATACATCTACTCTACATATACTGTACATACACACATACTATACATGTACTCTACATCTACTGCACATAGGCAAGTACTATACATCTAATCTACATCTACTGTGCATAGACACGTGCTATACATCTACTCTACATCTACTGTACATAGACACATACTGTACATCTACTGTACATAGACACGTGCTATACATTTACTATACATCTACTGTACATAGACATACTATACATCTACTCTACATCTACTATACATAGACACATACATCTACTCTACATCTACTGTACATAGACACATACTATACATCTATGGTACAGACACATACTATACATCTACTATACATCTACTGTACATAGACACGTACTATACATCTACTCTACATCTACTGTACAAATACATCTACATCCGCTGTACATAGACATGTACTATACATCTACTCTACATCTACTGTGCATATACATCTACTATACATCTACTGTACATATACGCCTACTATGCATTGACACATAATATACAGAAAACAGATGAAACAGATAAAAATTGCACCTGCCGCTACGCACCGCATGGCCATAGCGAGACTGAAGTTACTCATTCGCATCTCCTGATTCGTTTGGCTCCTTATTCGCAGCATCTTATTCGCCGGCTGAAGTTAGCTCCTTATTCGCCGCTTCTCTTTTAGCGAATGACGGTAAAACAAAAGGAGTGTTCATAAACGCTATATGCTGTGCAGTTTCCCATTTTAACAGACTCAGAGAGACTAATGATGCAGACACACTAATGAAGGAGTTACAAATGTGTACTGTGTTTGTCTTACCATTGTGAACATGAAGATTATGACTATAAAGGAATAAAATATTGAATTGTGTAAATATATGATGTTCAATTCAATTCCAATGTTTTTTTTTTCATTGCAAGTTTAAAGTATGAGACTGGAGAAAAAAATAAGGGTGGGTTTATGAATTATATTTAAAGCTAATCCAAATCTAAATTTAATGTGATTAAATTTAATTGTTTTTTTTTCAATCGCAGATGTACCTGGCAATATGGCACAATAAGTAAATGTGCGTAAAAGGAAATAGACAAACAACAAAAAAATTCAGAGGGGAGTATTTGCGTAGAATAAAACCAAAAACAGATTCCAAACAAAGAAAAAACACTGTCTCTGTAAGGAAAACCTGGTTTTAGCCTGGCCCAAGCTGATTTAATAAAATAAAATAACTGGCAACATGGCTCATATAGCAGTAATGCACAAAATGGAATTAATAGGAAGATGAAAACCCATGTAGATACTGAAGACCTTATTCAAATTGGGCCAGGATAATTACATATTCTAGGTCTTCACCTAGATTTTTCCCACTGTAAGGAAAACCTGGTTTTAGCCTGGCCCAAGCTGATTTAATAAAATAAAATACCTGGTAATTTCTTCCTTGAGCAATATTCCACACGGGAAAATAAATAGGAAGCTGAAATTCTATATAGGCTTTGTTAATTCTAATGGCTATGGGCCAAAAAATGCTAGTATCTTGAGCCACAGTCTATGCAGATTAGTAAAAGAAAAAAATTCTAGATAGACTTGACTGTGTTTGATGATCCTTTCACTTTATCTGGGAGAAATACTTGCAGTGAAAGCAAGCCATGATGAGCCACTCTGAAAAATGTATGCTATTGGCCCTTCATGAATATAGAGGAGAAAAAATTTAAAGAATACAAAAATTGGAGGCACATTTTTACTAAAAATGTTTTGTGTCTATTTATTTTTATGTGTTTGTTTTTATGTGTTTTATGTTCATGTGGTTTACCTACAATTCTCTTAAAATAGAAACATAACAATACTAGCACACAAAAATTCTCCACATCACAGAAAGCATCCTAAACCAGTGCTTTTAATAAGAGTAGAGTAATTTTGTTTTCTTTTATTCCTAGAAAATATTTACTTTTCTTTGTTTTTGTAAAAAGCCGCATATGGCTTTAGCACCCATTTTTTAAGTTCTTTACTTTTCAGTTACGTAAGAACCATAAACTACAAATGACTTATTTTTACTTATATTATACAGTTTATCATTTGGCAGACAATTTTTATACAAAGTGAAGTACAGCAGCACCAAAAAAAACAGTCTTTCAGATGCCATGCATGCCATAACAACATGACGAGTTAGATGAGTTTGATGATGGTGGTGGTGCCTCGGCTATCAAGTATGGTTTATTTACATTTACATTTAGATCATTTAGCAGACGCTCTTATCCAGAGCGACTTACAAAAAGTGCTTTGTCTATCCAGAGAAAGTATCTTTGCTAGTTACTAATAGGTTAGAGAGAAAGCCGGTCCTGAGCTCAGATACTGCTAGAATCAGAAAGTCATTGACACCTAGAGAAAAAGGAACAGAGTTAAACACAGAGCAGTGCAATACAATACAATACAATACAATACATAAGTGCTGTACAATACATTACAATCAATACTTAATTCAGTGCTCATTTAAGTGCTGTATAAACAGATGTGTCTTCAGTCTGTGTTTGAAGACAGCGAGAGACTCTGCTGTACGGACAGCCAGTGGGAGTTCATTTCACCACCTGGGTGCCAGCACAGAGAACAGTCTTGATGCTTGCCTTCCGGCCGCCTCGGAGGACGGTGGGTCAAGTCGACCTGTGCTCGAAGCTCGAAGGGCTCATTGTACAGTTTGAGATTTCACCATTGCCATCAAGTAGGGAGGGGCTGGTCCATTTTTGGCATTGTAAGCAAGCACAAGGGTTTTAAATCTGATGCGTGCAGCTACAGGAAGCTTGTGAAGGGAGCGCAGCAGTGGGGTGAGGTGGCTGAACTTTGGAAGATTGAAGATGAGTTGTGCTGCTGCATTCTGGATGAGTTGCAGAGGCTTGATGGCCTGCATTGGAAGACCAGCCAAGAGCGAGTTGCAGTAGTCAAGCCTTGAGATGACAAGAGACTGCACTAGCACCTGGGTGGCCTCTCGAGTGAGAAAGGGTTGGATCCTCCGGATGTTGTACAGGAGAAATCTGCATGACCGAGTTAGGTTCGCAATGTGAGTTGAGAACGATAACTGGCCATCCAGAACCACACCAAGACTTCTTGCCTCTACAGATGGGACAATCAGAGAGTTCTCGAAAGAAAGGCAAGATCATGATGAGGACCTGTAGTTGTTAGGATTGAGCTTCAGGTGGTGAGTTGTCATCCATGAAGAGATGTCAGACAAACATGCCGAGATCCGACTGGAAACCTGAGTGTCAGAGGGTGAGAAAGGAAGCATTGGTTGAGTGTCATCAGCATAGCAGTGATAACAGAAGGTTGAGGAGAGAGGAGAAAATGCTGAAGAGAGCTGGGATTTCCTCCACCTTCTCTCAGTTTATATTTTTTCTCTTTAGCATGCTGTGGAAATTCTTCAGAAATCAAAATGAAACAGAGGAGAAAATTATCAGCCTGTTTCAAAAAAATCTCATAGCCTAAGATCATGAAGGCTGCAGAAACCCTGACTCTGTGGGGTAGAATTGCTACCAATATTTGGAATAACAGGTTGCACATTAGAAAATGGCTATATCAAATGTGGCAGGATGACAAGTGATATTTAAAGTCCAGAGCAAAGGCATCAGT